CGAGATAATGACTAAGTCATTGAGTAATTACGACTAAGCCCAGAAAAGTGTGAGTCTAAAGGAATGGCTTTCAGCTATCATGAGAAAGCATATGTCTTACCTCAAACTTAGAAGCAATGAGCATGGTAGTGGAACCAATGAGCTGTAAAGACTCCCGCTTGGCCTGGCTCACAGCCAGATAATGATCCGTCATTTTCACAGCAAGGTACAGAGTCTCATGATTCAGCTCGAAATTCTCCTGCAGAATAAAGCCACATCAGTGCTTAAGCCACCAAAAGCCAACAACGTTTTACAAGACTTATCAAAACAGCACATTTGAAACAAGGCCAAACACTGACACTTACCTGGACCTCAACCAGCCAGTCCACCAGAATCGCTCTCATATTGCTGTTTAGATTTGGCTGATCAGCCATGTAGTCTTGCAAGACAAACGTTTCCTGCAAATAAAATAAATACAACACTTCAGCTTGATGTCTGTTCCTCAATTTGCAAGATCATTAATGAACTCACTACTAAACCAACCTCTCTGCTCTTGAGGTAGTCAAAAATATCTTTAGCGTACTCCACTGTATGTGTAGAGTCACTGAGGTGCTCTGAATCAATGTCAAACTCAGGAGGAATCTGAAAGACAGAAGATAAAGGTTTTTTATGTTTATAAATCTGTAAACAAGAAAAAAAAAATCCAAACTCCCAATAACCCCCAAAATATTAAAGAATATGCCCAGCGAGAAGAATTTAATGAGTGATCTTTAATTACATTAGCATTAATTTGAATTTACTTTTTCACTTCTGCTTCTACATTTAATGCAATATGTCTGTGGGGTTTCTTTTTGGCAGTAACCAGCTCCAAACTTTTAAACACCTTGGAACAACTGGGTATTTACATTCTCATAAATATTCACATTCATGCCAATTCTGTCATGGTAGAATAATATCCTGATCTTAATAATCATGGCACCAGTGCAGCAGACTTAGGTCTTACCTTTGGAGGCAGTAGGTGTTGAGGAATTGGAGCTTTGGAAGAAGGTTCTTCCAGTTTCTCAATATTGCATTCCACATTCTTCAATTCCTCTAACTTTTCCTCTGAATTGATCACAGATCTGAGAGAAGAAAAGATAAGCAATCTGCATATTCTGGGCCAATCATCTCAAAGAACTTGCAAAACACCTCAATGTAAGGTAGGGTAACGATAAAGAGGCAATAAAATATGGCTTACTTTAAGTTGACATTCTTAGAAAGTACTGAGACCTTCTTCTGCAGTTTTTTGACAGGATCTTTCTTCTTGATGGGGTTGCTTAGCTCAATCTTGTGCGCCTTTTAACAAAAGTGCATTTTAAGAGTTTTAAAGAGTGGATTTTCACTAAAGAACAATCTGCTGAGATTTTGTTAAGACGAGCATGAGTCACACCAAATCAATCAAATTGGTTTGATCTGAGATTCAGAGAGAATGAATAGAAGGTGTTAGACAACGGCGAATAGAGCCATCATAATTTGCATATGGGAGCACCTCACCTGGAAACCAGACACACCAAATAAGTGCCCATCTGAGTTAATAAAAGGTGAGATCTCCTGCTTTTGTGTACAGTCTGTAATTTACTGCTTGAGCATGAATGGGATTTTTTATGAGCTCATGCCGATTTGCATCATTCAAGCAAACTCCTGGTGTTAGTGGGGTTACAAGATAGACGCTTAACACTTACTGGTTTGACATCATCAGAATCAAACCGAGGGGCCAAAAAACACCAAGAGACAGCCTAGTCAGCCAACACGAAAGCAATAAAACTGTGGTGCATGTACACAAAAGCATGTATGAACTAAAATTTAAATAGCACCCGTACATTGGTGATGTCCACAAAAGCAGTTCTTTTCTTAGGGGCTCCTTGGGGAGAAGAAGATGAGCGCTTGGTCTGAGGGCCATCCTGCTTAAACACATCAATACAATATTGATCAGATCAACATCAATCAAATCAACAAAGCTCTAATTCGTTTTCATATCTGGTCTAATATCATTGTATAACCTGGTTCTCCAGTCCTTTGGGGTTAAGTTTGGGGATTTTACTGGTGGTTCGCTTCTTTCCTCTTGAAAAAGGCATCTTGTAGTTGTTCTGATCCTTCACAGTTATATCCTCTTTCAAATGTGAAGTATACAAAGAATGAATGAAAAACTAAAGATCACTATGCACCAGTGCACACTTCGATCAAACACACACACACTCATTGTGCTCCTCAAGGTTACTAAACTTTCAAACAAAGCTTGGTATAGAAATTGTTTTGACCGCAGGAAGCATCAAGTCCGTCGTTAAACAACAACATGCCCGCGACTGTTTCGTTTTTAATTTTGCGACAAATTTCATAACTGCACAAAAACGATCTTACCTTTTCACCATACGCTGAACAACCTCAATTAAAGCAGGAAAATATTTTGAAAAAGAATATGTGCAAACATCCACGAAAAGTACACTGAAAACCTATCCAGACTGAAACAGACACACCGCTCTACAGTCTGCGTGCGTCCAAAACTAAACGCAGCGATTTGATTGGCCGACTGTACTTCGCTGTAGGCCAATGAGCGTCGAGCTAGGATGCCGTTGTTAAGGGGCGGGACAATAGAATTTTCAAAAACACCCTAGCAACCAATAGGAATAGAGCTCGCCTTCCTTTGACTTTTGAGTAAGCGGACGTTGAGAGAAATGTGCTTAATGACACCAGCTGAGGTTCTGTTTATTAGATAACATAATTGTAATAATATTACGTAATTGCTTCTCTTATTGTGAACATTATTTATATTATTGTCTTCACAATGAAGCCACACCTCCCAGCCACCCACACGCACACTCACGCAGTGCATGTCTTTCACACAGGAAATCAGCATTGTCTGCAAACTGCCTGTGGCCCATCATTCACATACTCAGGTCTATCAAGACGAACTTGTTTGACTGATATCCCTCAACAAGGTATGGAGAAAAAAATATATTTTTACAAGTGTATGAAGACGTGAATTTATTTAGTTAATTATCATCAATAGAAAGTTATTTATTATGTGCAAGATGGATTCAGTTGTATCTCAGTGCTATAAAATATGGGGATGAAAATCATATTTTCAGGCATTTTAAATCCATGTTATGTAACATTTGATATTAGGTTCCATCTATTACTTGTAAGATGTCTTTCATACTCTTAGCAGCAATTCTTTCTACAACCAAAAAGTGCTCTTAAAGTATTTCGTACATGCTTTTACTTCTCAATATCTTTTAGCAATACCAGGAAATACGATGAATCCCACCTTCTACCGCTTTTATTTAATGGGGCATTTGACGTCAAAGAGCATTGCATTTCCTTGAACCAGTTCGATCACACATTTTATTAATGCCTAGAAAATGTCTCCTTTGAGTGTTTCATGTTTCCTTTGAACATGTCAAAGTATTATAACACATAAACAATAGATTAGAAAACCAAAGACTTTTCAAGGTGATGTCCTCCGCAACACCGCCCAGGAGACCTTTTATTTCCAATTCTCTTTAAATGTACTCAAAATCTAACTTGAACCGACGGCAGCTAACAGGTTATGCATGTGTTGTAGCGTTCATTGCCAAATTAAATAAATATGTGGGTGCTGCCGCTGACTCAAAGTGCTTTACAAGTGTTAGTGTGAGGTGATGTTTATCAGAGCTTAAACAGACATCCTCTCACAAGCCTCTTTTCTGTTTCTCTTCACACTCATATGGCAACCTTTGTTTCGTTGGGTAAAGGTTGCCTTATGAACTAGAACAATGATCTTTCATATCAGTCTTAATTATTAAGAGAAAGTCTGCAGAAAATATGTAAACTGAAACATCTACCCTCATACGTTCATACTTTCCTGTCAGTCACATGACCTAGTTCCTGTAAGAGCAATTCTTTGATCACTTGCGGTTTTCAGTTCTTTTTCTACTTATTTAAGACTCGCTTTTCTTTCGTTGTTCTTGGATTAATTTAGTCGGTCACATATCAGTGTTTTGATTTTACATGTACTTTACTTTGCTCCATTCCTGAACTCTAATATCACCATTATCAAATTTTCAGCTCTCAGGATGTACTAGTCAAACACTTTACAAGTTAATGTTATCTATGGATAAAATAAGGTGTTTATGGGGTGCGACCATACACACCATCACAGATTGTTTTTCAAAAAACAGGGCTTCTTTTGTCCTCAGTGATAACTGAATAATATCATGTACCTCAAGAGGATTGCTCAATCATGCCCTTGAAGATCTACCTCCAAAGAATCACAGCCTTTAGTTGGAGAGAGAGTTGGAACAAAATTATGCAGGTTATGTCTCCAGGAGCATTATTAGGCAACCCTACACTTGAATATCAATGAACTCCTGTTAGTCTGTTGTATAAAATAAACTTTATCATGGCTCAGAAAAACTAAATTATATATATATATATAGATATATATATAGAATATTGTAAAAACAGAACACACACAAACATATATGCAGGTATATATATATATATATACACACACACACACACACACACA